TCACATAAGGGGACATGAGGAGAAATGTTTAAACAAAAAAAGTAAAAATATGATTTTATGGATTTATTTTATTGAGTAAGGAAAGTACTATTGCCTTAGGAATTAAAATATGAAATACTTCATTATTAAAGCCTTTAGTAAGGGCACTTTTTTATTTTCTGATATGAACTATGAATCTCTAGGAATTAAAATATGAGCTACTTCAATATTAAAACCTTTAATAAGGGCATATTTTTGTAATCTGCTCTGGGAATCTCACATACAGAAGAGGCAAAACTGATCCAAGGGAGAATCAATAAAGTTGTTGTTAATATTTCATTAAGTATTGTATAATTTTTTTTTTTCAGATTCCAATTGTAGGAATTTGTTTGCTAATTAAAAAGAGTAATTTGTCAAAAATTCCTTGATTTAGAAAACCCATGATGGTGCACCCTGCTGAATTTGAGGGAGAAGATATAAATATATTTGGAATTTTTTCTTAATAACTTCAATTTGAAAGCCAGTATTTGATGAAATAAGTTAAGAAAGTATCTTCCCTAGTAATCTAATCCAAATATTGACTGTTACTTATATTTTGCTTGGCTGATTCAGCAACAATCTTGGCAATTTAATTTTTCTTATAATGGAAGAGAAAGTTTTTTAAATTTTTAAAATTTTTTACATTTTCTGTGATCCCACTTGGTTAAGGTTAAGGTTAATGGTTAAGGCTAATCTATTTAGATTGCTCACATTAGAATGACAAAGGTCTGATAGATATTAGTCATTTTCTACTGGTAGTAGAAATGGCTGTCTTAAATTATTTGCCCCATTTGGGTGTTTAATGGTAGCTGAAAGTAGTCAGGTTCCAAAAAGCAATTTGAATGCTGTTAAACTAATTAAGGAGCTAAATGGCTCCATAATAAACAGAAGATCTTGAAAGTTACCTTCATTAGTTACAACAGGAAAATGGTCATTAATGGGAAGTACCTGAAGAAGTGCCTGCCTGGAGGCAAATCCTGTCATTAGGGCAGTCTGCAGACTCAGAAGTATTAGTATGAACACTATCAAAGGTGCCTGGGTCAGTTCCTTTTCATTTTCATTGGAGAGGACGTTTTGATGTTACTAGTACTTTATTTTCCTTATGTCTCTTGTAAGCTTATAATATTTAATTTAAAAATCAAGGAGGAGAAATAAAAACATGCCTAAATTTCCTGTATTTCCTCTCTGTTTAGAAGGATTAAGTATATACATGTAACAATTTATTTCTGTGTACATCACTTCCCAGTAAAAATAATCTTCATGAGCTGAGCAGGACTGTAGTTCATTTGTAATCTAAATAATCAGAAAATATCTATGGATGCTAGCTTTGGAACAGGCTGCAGAGAGCTGCAGAAACTGCAGGCCCATGGCCTCTCAGTCCTGCCTGAGAAGCTAGCCTGAGAAATTCAAAGGAGGATTTCAAAACAATTCTCAGGGACGCTAAACAGCCTTGCAGGTGCTGTTTATCTGTCCTCTTGTTTTCCCTTGCAGGAGAGGGTCAGGGGGGTAGAGTGCCCCTGACCAATGATGGTAATGTAGCACTTTGCTAACCAATAAGAGTTTTCTTTCTGTACTTTCCACGTATCTGTCTATAAGACAGGCCTGAAGCAATAAACTAGGGAATTCTCGTGTTGTGACTCCCTTGAGAGTTTGTGTCGTTCTTTCTAGCCGTTCCCAATCGGAACGACAAATATCCTGTGTTGAAACATACTGCTAAATAAAAGAATCAGTGTTCCTTTCCATTTTCATTTTTGTTAGATGTCTATAAAAAGTGTAATTATTTGATTTACATATTAATATAAAGATATAGACAGACGTGTTCATCTCCTTTACTGTGATTGTCAGGCCTTGGGATATGCACATCAGGATATTGTGAAAATAAATGAATTAATAGCTCTAAGAACCAGCAATATTAATTTATCAGTCACTTCTTAACTGTTAGCAGATTTTGAACATATTTTAAAACTTCTTTATAGCAAAATTCTGCAATAAATTTAGTCCATTATCTTAATCTCATAAATTTAGCAAGATCAGTAGATCTATCAAACATAATTGGTATACCTAGAAATTTTTCTATTCATAATAAAGCACAGTAGCTTCTGTGATAAGTACCTTCTGTAATTTTAATCCAGTTGCCAGATGAATTGGGAGGAATATACTGCAAATTGTCCTTTCTTAAGTCATTGACATTTTTGCTTTAGCAGAGCTAGTTTAATCTGATCTGACTGGGCAGATGTGTCCACCCCTGCAGATTCTATCAGAGTCAATGGAGCTTCACACAATTTTATAGCCATTATTTTATACAGAACTGGCAGTGCTTTATAAAGTATGTGCTGCAGAGACTCCTATTTTTTCTGCAATATAGAGCAAATGAATAAAAAATTATAAAAAAAATATTATTTTATCAATAAAAATTTGTTGCTAACTTAAAATTATAAATATTTCCTTAGTGAAAACAATGCTTATTTTGGCATATTTTTAATTTCTGTGCCGAAACCAAGCACTGTGAAGATATGAAATAAGTGCGTATTGCATGTTTTCTGTTAATTTATTCTATTTCCAAGATTATCGAATACATTAATCAATAAGCTATTAAATCTTTGGAAAATCTAACTGGAAAAAGTAAAACACTAACATGTTCTTCATTTCTTGTGACTGTGTCAGGTAGGCAGGACTGGAAGTCAGAGAAGGAGAAAGAACCTCAGGCAAATTCGTAATTTGTAAATCTAAATCCTGGTTTTGAAAAGAAAAAAAAAATGCAACTAGTGATTACAGTTTTTATTCTCCACATTTTCAAAAATATGTAATAAAAAAGTTGAAAAGATGTCATCAATGCTATTGATTAATATTTTATAAGCCTTTATCTAGAGAGACCACAAATAGTGTGAAAGTAGAGATTTTCTCTTGAAAAACAGATACTTGTGTTACTAAAGAAAGCTTAGAAAGTTAAAGCATTCATTTACATATTGATGTAGCTAAGGCTTCCTGATATTAAAAATATGGACACCAATGTAAATCTCAGAAGAGTGCAATAGTTTTCTGCACACCAAACATGGAAGTTAGAGTCTATGTTGTATGTAAGGTATATAAGGCTATACAGAAATTAAAATTATGTTAACCATTGTCTTGTAATAAAGGCACTCATTTAAGGCCTTACAAATCACAGAAATAGTTCTGAAACAATTTTTTCAGTTAATGTAATATAATTTGAAACAATGTATTACTACATCTTTTCTTTTTCTTTCAAAGACAATGTATTTTACATAAATATATGTGAATTTCTCCAGAATTCAAACAATGGAAAACCATAAAAATATGCCAAGCTTTTACCCCTATCTTTCTTGTTTGAGAAATCTTAAAAAAATTATGTCTGGTAAAAACAATAAACTTGTGTTTGTAGTCAAATCTCTTTACTGGAAATTAAATTTTATCTGCTAATTAATCTCCTAAGTGCTACTGACGAGCGTCTCACACATCCACAGAGATTGTGTGTTCATTGCTATAATTCTTTCAACATTGCATTGTGTCCATTTAAAGGAACTTCAGAGTCTCAGAAAAATGCAAATATACAAACAGGTACTGTTGTAATTACTGTTGTAATACAGTAGTATTTTGTCTTCTCAGGAGAGAAATATCACTTGAGTATCTTGTTTGATGTGTTATCGTTTGGATCCAAAATAGAGCTTTGAAATGTATTGTAATGACCTTGGCTGTTTCAGGATTCATGATTTTATAAATCTGCTTTTAAAGGGCTAGAACGATTTTGAGGCATGCATTACAGAACAGCTCATTTGCGGCCTGTGGTTAGTCTGCTTTGAGACTCCAGTAGAAGTAATGTATTTCAATAACAGTAACAGTAGGAAGAGATAAGATAGAAGATCAGTAAAGTCTTGCTCTCTCTGTACATAACACCAGTGTCTCTTGCTAGTCAGTAATGAACCCTATAACAATACAGACTTAGAAACAGATTTCATTTTTTGCTTTTGCAGAAACACAGAAGCCCACCGTGAAAACACTAAAGTGGGGGAGGAAAGGAATCCAACAGGTCTTCTTTTTTAAATTAAGGAGATTCCTATAGTTACTCTCAGACATTCAGTTCCCTAGACACTGCTTCTGACCAGTCCTGGTCTCCCTGCCTACAGCTTGGGGGCTGGAAGTAGAAGATCTTTAAGATCCCTTGCAAGCTAAATAATTATATGATTCTATGATTCCCATTCTTAAAAATGAAGGCCTTAAAAATATTTGGGCTCAGAATCAGGCCATCTTGGAATAATTCCAATAACCTCAAATTGTTTATTTTTTTAAACACATATATCTATTTCTCCCAGTCTTTCAGCACTCACATATACTGTTAAAGGAGAGTCCAATTAGTCATGTGTTTTATGCTTATGCTAAAAATTCTTTGTATTGAGTCCTCCTGTGTCTAAAACTTGATAATCCCTTTAGCAATCTATCATTCCTTTCTAATGCCATTACCCTTGTTTTCTTCACTTCTCAATGATAGTTCACAATACCAAAAGTAATACGATCTGAACCTGAATATGGATGTCCTCTGAATAATTATTCACTGGAAATTTACCTTGGAACACTGACATCCTTACAGTGTGTCTGTGTGCGTGTGTGTCTGTGCCTGTGTCTGTGAATATACAGATACAGATTATTTAGCATGAGTGTATATTTTAAAAATATATACATATATATAATCCACTTACATATACATATATTATGCACACACACACACAGAGTGAACCTAACAAGAATACAGGACACTATGTGAGTCAGCCCTTGTGGGAGGGCATCTTAATTATGGTGTGACTCCCCAGCAGAAGGAAGACCTTGACAAACCAAACCAATATAGAGCCATCAGATGGTTTAAGGGCTAGAGAACATCATATGTGAGAGTAAGCTGAGGGTGCTCGGTATGATCCTAGAATGATATAAGCCTAAAGAGAAGTGGGCTGATGGCAAAATTTTGGCTTTAGCTTTCTTATAGGTGCTTATGAGCAAGAGTGGCCTGACTCTCTTGGAGGACATGCTTCACAAGACTAGAGACAAGAGGCACAACACAGGATGCTATATTTAGGTAAGGATATGAAATTCCACCATAAAAGGACTATGTTGGACTCCCCTGATAAAGACTGTGGAGGTTCTCCAAACTTGAGAAGGAGAAATCTCTTCTAAGTTTGAAGGATGCCCTCTTTTAGGCAGCATAACCTGCAAGACCCCTTCCCAGTCTAAATTATTTTGTGATTCAGCAATTTGAACTGTGTAACAAAATCCAACACTGTAGAGTAATTATGATGTTAGGCAATTGGAATGGCTTTAAATAAGAGTGTAGTTTCACAAAGAAAGAAAGTACCTGTTTGAAATAAGATGAAGACAGTAATTTAACCAATGTGCTTTTCTCCATTTACCTAGAGCAATATATTTTTCTGTTCAATTTTCATGAAGATGCTTATAGATAATTTCTGGATCTAATAAAATCTTTTTTAGCCTTAGCTAAAAAAGAGGTTTCTCTTATGAAAAATGTAATTTGGTATTTTGCTTCTTCGTGAATATAATCAGACATATTTTAGGCAGTTCTCTAGGTATCATATTCAAATTAACAATGGATCACTTGGAAACTTGGTCATATTTCACACCTGAATTTTTTCCTGAATTGCTGAACCTTAAGCAAGTAATATTACATCTGAATCTTGAAACTTGGAACATATACTACAATTACAGATATATATTTAGGGAGGATAGAAACAATAATTCTATACCCCAGTTCTGAAACCCAGATTATAGGTTTATCATACCTGGAAGAGAGATTTTGTTTTCATGTGCTATATACCTTATCTGATTCATTATACTGATTTAAACTTTTCCAAAGCTTTTCCAACAGGTCAGTATGAAAGTAACCTAGACCTTTGTGTGAAGTAAAATCTGTAAGTATAAATGTGGCTGAAGCAAATGCAAATAGCCAAAAAGTTATCTTGCTCCTTGCAAAAAGTTTCATTCAGGGTGAAGGATCTAAGGAAATCCTTGAGACTCTAAGAAATCTGTAAAAGAGAAGCAGTTATGAGATGAGTACTAATAACCATAAAGAATTTAATATGAAACCGCTCCAATGTGCTAAATAAGACATTATAAGACAATAAAAGCTTGATGAAAAATGTGAAGAAGTTATTCAAAGCTGTGCAGATCAGATGCCTGCACTCCATAATGTTATATAAGTGGAGAAGTGGGTACATCAGCATGGACCTGGCCTTAGGCAGCTGTGCTCAGCCAGTAGGACCCAAGTGTGCTAAATCTATATCTAAATCTTCTATCTTCATATATAATTATGTCCATATGGCAAATGATAGGCTAATCCCCTCCCTCTTTTGTCTCACAAAATGTTCTGACAAGTCTTTCTGATGATCTTTTAAAAGCTGATGTGATCATATATATGTAAACCAATTTACATAATAAATCTGAGCTGGGGAAAACAACTTGTCTGCAAATTTGAACTTGACAAGGACTTGACTTTTGATACTGCTGCACTAAGCCTTTTAAGATACTTTGAAAAGTACGTTTCTTGAAGTCTGCAAGTACCAAAAGAACACTTACAGTTCAACAGTGCATTTTAAATATTTCAGAACACCTAGAAAAGTATGCTTTGTGGCATATGGTAATGATTGCATTCTGCTTTCTGGAAAGGCTAGTACCTGCTTGATGGATTCAAGTATCCTAGAATCAGATGTGTGAAAAAGAGTACTGCAGGAATTTAGTTATTTTTTCAGAGCCAGACAGAAACATCCTGCATATCAAAACTGCAGAATATGAACTCTGAGTTTGCTCACATGGATGGTGTTCCTCAGTAGTGGTTGGCCTCTTTTTATATATTCCTTTCCTATTATGGCAGCTGTGTCTTTTGTCCATTATGCTGACCATCACCTCAGTCACTGCTCCAGAGCTGTGACAGAATGCAGGGAACCCTTTTTGTTCTGTTCGAGTCACATGGTGTGGTTTCTCCATACAAAGAGGAATTATCTTCTTGACAATGTCTAATCAGTCTTTAGCAGTTTAATCATCTCTGGTATCTGTAGATTGCTTTAAAAGGACATTTTTCTAAGGAAATTTTGTTCTCTTACTGTTCTCATTCTGTTTTTGGAGAAAGTTGGTTTACCAGCTTTCGCTTGCCACTTGACTGAAAACAATATTTTAAAGTGAGGATATTTTTCTAACTAATATCTTTTAAAATGTATTTTGTGCTAACAGGATTTACCTTAGACTTTAAAGCATTGCCAAAATGAATATATTTAATATGTTCTGCATTAGGTTTCTCTTACCCTTTATTATGTTTTGATGTTTTTGTCCATTTTGGTAAATAGTGCCTATTTTTTGAGAGACTTTAAGAAGAGAAGTCTGATTTCCACAGATCTTTTTATCTGTTCTGGTGAATGTGCCTTGTAAGTTATACAACTGAAAGTTATATTGCTCAAAGACTTTCAGTAGCACTCCAGTGGCTAAAAAGATTTTGTCTAGCAATCCTCACCTTCTGACTATAAAAATATTGTCCCCATTTACCACACAATTTAAAATTAGAGTTATTTAAAATTGTCTAGTTTTAAGCACTGCCACTGTATTAAAAAATATAATTATGCCTTAAAGTGACAAGAAAAAAAAAAGGCATTCCAGTTTTCCTAGGTACTTCAACAAATCTCCTCTTGAAGAACCCACCAGATGTCCCAAAAATATTACAAAAAGGTCTGTTTCAGTTGTTTTAAGGGATTTTTTTTAACTCTTCCTCCATTTTCTCTGTGAAGTTTGGATCCCTTTCCGTGTAAGAAGAAATAATCTCTCAGCTTTCTTCAGGTTCTTTTCAGTGTAGGTCATGCCTTTCTAAACCTATAGATCCTGCAGGTTTGAAAGTATGTTATAAACCACATTTTCTCCTTGTGGAATTAGCAACTTACTAAAAGCACTGTTCCTGCTCAGAATAAAATTAATACAATAGCTTTATGGTAAGAAAACTTAATCCTGTCAAATTTAACTTCATGAATAATTCACAAGGTACAATTTCATGTTTATCCCATTATTAAAGATAGAAAGTGTGTATAGGCCATCCATGCTTTTTAATAACAATTTCCTAATACTTGTAGAAAAAAAACCATGCTGTTACCTCTGCAATGTATTTTTGTTTGTTCTTACTTGAATTTTGATACTGAATGTAAAACTATTGTAGACAATCATATTATAAATTATTTTCTTCCAGAATATCTCCACTGAGCGTTTATTAAAATGTATGAAAAATGTTACAAACACAAGAGAAATAATAGTATTTTTATAACCTCATCGCCTGGCTTCGTCTATTGAGTTTGGTTCACAATCTGAATCTTTTAGAAGTAGAAGAGGAATTTCAGAATGTTCAAAGCTCGGGCTTAAGTTGGTGGAAATTACATTAGAAAAGTCAAGGCAAGATGCCACAGATAATAAACAATGTTGTGTCTTAAATATACTCAAAACAGAATGAGAACAACTTATTCCTGCTCTGTGTTGGTTTTCCAAGCGCAAAGATAAAAATATGCCCTAACCACAAAGACTGCAACACCTAGAATATTGTCAGGATAATGTCAAAATTCTCTTCACTTAAGTTGTGAGGGACACACATTCTTTTGTCCTATATATTTATTCAAGTGCCTTATTTTTGAACTATTGCCATAGTTCTAGTGGCTTATGAAAAATGTTGGAAAACTATTTTAATTAAAACCCAAAAAATGGGAAGAAGCCAAAACCAGTAGTAAACACAGCAGTCACCACTCAAAATAAAATGGAGTTAGCTTATGAATAAATGGCAGAATGAAAATTTGAAAGAAAAAATGTAGTAGCAATATTTAATATTAAATCAAATAGGTTAATAAGGTAATGGTGGGAAAAAAACGAAACCTCAACTATTCATTCTTCTTTTTCTTGCATATTATCAGATGCATTTATTAATTATGTCATCCTTAAATGGTCTCCGCCCAATAATTTTTTTAATGCTTTATTTTCTAATAGTGTGTCTTTTTTATGAATCCAGATCTCATGTTACTGATTCTCTTCAGATGCCCATATTGAACAATACACAAGTTCTGTATTGCTATTGTGTTTCTAGGTATGTAATTCTAGCACCACTGAAGTGTGTCTAGTTTGTTAAATGAAAAAGTAAAAAGGGGAGTTCTAGTTGTGTAAAGATGTTTGACCTATAGCTTTAATTATGATAAACTGGTGGAGATCTTTAGTCTTAAACAGTTTTCAACTATTTTGTTCTCATCCTTCAATACTATTTTGTAAACTCTGAATACATCACAAAACCCATGATAAACAAGGCTAGAACTACAGACAAAACATAACAGTTTGAAAGACTTCATCTATTGCGTTTGGTTCACAATCTGAGAAAATGCTGAAAATATTACTATATAAGAGAGATTTCAAATAATGAAAAGTTTAAACTTTCCATATTGTTCCAATTTCAAACCTTAAATAAATCTTGGCTATTGTCAGCCTTTCAGGAATATCTGTCTTATAGAACTTTTGCTTTTGGAAACCATATAAAATACAAGAGTCTTTTCTAGTTGTGAGTTTAACACTGGAATCCAAGCTTAGCACTAATTCCACTTTTCTTATGGTCCCTCACACTGCTGTCAGTCTTTATTTACCCATTCATTCAGTCCTCCTGCTATATTACCATAGACACTAATCCTTATAGTTTTGTTTTTGTCTGTGTCATCCTCCCGCTTAGGACAGGTCAGAATTCTAATGTCCAAAAATATTCTCACTCCACTCCAAAACAATTTGACTTCTCCTGAGTTAGAACTTATCCATTACTAATGCTCTACATGTACTCTCACACATATATTATTCTAGACAATTAATGGCAACTTGTGTGCAGCTGTGCACAGAAAAACTATGTACTATGTACTGTATCATAACCCCTTTGTTGCCACAAGGATGTAAATGGATTTTATTGTAATACAGTTTCATTTTTTTTAATGACTTGATGTCATTCATCTTCCACCTGGGTATACTATAGCTTCAAATTGGTTATCTTTTGTTCCTTGATTTCTTAATGAATTCTGGTTTTAGTTGGTCCTGTGTTTTAGTCTGCATATAGCTTGATTCTTGTTTTAGCTTGTACTTTGCATTACCACTATCAAAATCCCCACAACTTTAGAAACTACTTGCAAGTGTGCTGTGATCTTGATGATCCGCTGAACCAGTTTAATTTGGCACATCTTCTACTTAGATTCTTTCATCTGCTCTTCATGCTTCCACAATCAGGCATTCCCATTCTTTCTCTGTTAACACCAACTTAAAATTTTCACTTACATTGGCATTTAAACTAGATTTTTAGAAAACAACAACAAAAAATTGTAAAAAGTACATATTGAAGAATGGCATGTTTAAAAATCAGATGGGAAATGACCTTCAGTGGCTGTCCAGTCTAGTCTTTTCCATGCCTTTCCACCCTGTCTTTCCTTAAGTATATCTTCATAGCAGCTCTGCCTCCATAAGGGCTGTTCTTCCAAGTTTCTGTAATTCCAGTGAGGCTGTAGACCCCCCACCAAGGCCCTGTGCAGGATGTGCCAAGAATCACACCATGTAGATATGTTGAAGACTATTGCCATACTCTTCAAATCACTTAGTCACTTCTGGTCCAACAAGTAGTTGGTGGATGATTATGTTTTGGGGGATGGTGGTGGGTTGCTCTTTTTGTGGGTAGAGGATGAGGAATCTCCTGGGGAAGATTCTGGATTGAAAATGAACCAGCTGTGCTGCATGTAGAAGTTAATTTTCCTTAAAATTTGTCTTGTAGTAATAGAAGTCATTACAATGTCAATAGGTAGTTGAATACGTGATGGAGTCACACTGATATGTTGGTACTGTTGAAGTCATGTGATGAGTTGTTTTTTTATGTAAGCTTGCATGGATGCTGAATATAATGACTGTATTGTGTTTATCCTACTCTGCTTCTTTTTGATTAAAAGAGAGATTGAAATGAGTACCAGGCCACTTAC